ACCCCAGCTGCTGCTTAAAATTTCATGCAGGATTAGGCTTACCATGTGTTTGGCGATGCTGCCAGCCAGGCCCGTGTTGCGGAGCAGGTGTCCTTCCGAGGGGAAACTGAAATTGCCCGAATTCAGGTTTTCTCTGGATGAGTGGGTGCCAAAGAGCGCAAACGGTTGCCTGCTGGGGCTGATCACACACACACACACAAAGAGCAAATGACGACACTTCCATGCTATTGAAAGTCTGGCCTGTGGTCGCTGCTTTGAGAGCACTAAGGAAGAGGTTCCCTAACCCTCTCTGGCGTTAGCACCACACCGAGCATCTCGCCGGTGCTAGCGCCGCCCATTTGTGGCACCCACACTCGCGCGGCCCCACTTGCACATGTGCACGTGCTCACACACGGCCCATTTGCAGGTGTGCATGCTCTCGTACGCGGCCCATTTGTGCGTGCACACGCACGCATAACATTGCCTACCTCCATTTTCTGGGCTGCCAAATCAAAAAGGCTGGGGACCTGTGGTCTACGTGACCACGGGATGCTGAAAGTATGCAAAATGTAGGCACATGACTATGCTCTCCAGCCATCAGAACTCTGCCTATGGGTCATGGGATCCATTGTAACTTTGAACATTTGTTAAGTGATCGATCGTTGAGGACTACCTGTACATCCTCAAAACACGATGGCAACCCATATGTGCATTCTTAATGGGAAAAACATTATGAGGCGATTATTTTCCTAGAACTAAGGAGAAACTTCCTGACAGCTAGAACAATTAACCAGAAGCCTGCCTCCAGAAGCAGTGAATGCTCCAGCACTGGAAGTTTTTAAGAAACTGGACAGCCATTTGTCTGAAATGGTATAGGGTTTCCTGCCTGAGCAGGGGGTTGGGCTAGATGACCGCCAAGGTCCCTTCCAACAATTCTGTTCTATTTCTATTTCATTCCATTCTATAGAGAAGCAACCTAGAACTAAGGAGAAACTTCCTGACAGTGAGAACTACTACTACTACTACTACTACTACTACTACTACTACTACTACTTCTTCTTCTTCTTCTTCTTCTTCTTCTTCTTCTTCTTCTTCTTCTTCTTCTTCTTCTTCTTCTTCTTCTTCTTCTTCTTCTTCTTCTTCTTCTTCTTCTTCTTCTTCTTCTTCTTCTTCTTCTTCTTCTTCTTCTTCTTCGACTAGATGACCTCCAAGGTCCCTTCCAACTCCTCCTCCTCCTCCTCTCCTCCTCCTCCTCCTCATTATTATTATTATTATTATTATTATTATTATTATTATTATTATTATTATTATTATTATTATTATTATTATTATTATTATTATTATTATTCAGAGTGGCAGGAAGCAAACACAGGCCTTTTTAACATATTCAGTGGTTTTTTCTGATTTAAGTACAGAAAAAAACCCACCCCAAATTTAATTCCCCAAGTCTTCCGATAAAATGGCTGGCTCACAACGGACACAAAGCCCCCCCCCCCTTTTGTGCTAGAGACACATGACAGCTGCAATCACACAAAATAATGACAGGTCTCTCCTTCTGCTATACATCAATTTCCAAGGCTATATATCTGGACTGAATCCTGAAATGTTGCCGGGCGGGAAAGCAAAGTTATCCTTGAAGAGACATGATCAGACTCTGGAATGATCATAACAAATCTTACATTTTATAGTATTCTCCCTTCAGCGGTTCGATGGAAGAAGAAACGGTTTTGAAAGGCTCAAGGTGGAAATGTCTCCTCTGAAATTATAGCTCCTTTTTTTTTAGAGGACAAAACTAGAAATTAGATTTGTACGGGGATAGGACCCTGCGTGGGAAGGAGGTTGTAGAAATAAAAATAAATAAATACCTGTTATCTGTTATGTGGCTTGAAATCAGCCCGTGGCTAAAGTAACTTCGGAATGGCTAAAAAAAGGGGGAGAAAAAAAACATTGATATCGTTAAAAAGAATTAGGGAGATTAAAAATGGATTAAAAACACCTCGCCAAAGATTGACGAGTACAGCGCTGCTCTGTAAACCATTACGGATGATGGGCCTATTGATAGTCCTCGACTTACAACGGTTCATTTAGTGACTGTTTGTAGAACCTTGCTTTTTTCACCACTGAATTTCATTTTGTTAGATAGCACCCAGTGTTCCAGTCTGTCCAGATCCTCCTGTATCCTAAGCCTGTCTTCTGGAGTGTTGGCCATTCCTGCCAGCTTGGTGTCATCTGAAAATCTGATGAGTTCCCCATCTATCCCCTCGTCCAGATCGTTGATGAAGATGTTGAAGAGCACTGGGCCCAGAACAGAGCCCTGGGGCACCCCACTACACACTTCCCTCCATGTAGATGCGGTTCCATTGAGGACCACACACAAACCCTCTTCTTTGTGGCAGCCCCTGAGATATTGGAACACCGGCTATCATGTCCCCCCTCGTCCTTCTCTTCGTTAAACTAGACATACCCAATTCCAGCAACCGTTCCTCATATGTTTTAGCCTCCAGTACCCTAATCATCTTTGTTGCTCTTCTCTGTACTCTTTCTAGAGTCTCAGCATCTTTTTTACATCGTGGTGACCAAAACTGGATGCCGTATTCCAAGTGTGGCCTTACCAAGGCACTGTAAAGTGGTATTAATACTTCACGTGATCTTGATTCTATCCCTCTCTTAATGCAGCCCAGCACTGTGTTGGCCTTTTTGGCAGCTGCAGCACACGGCTGGCTCCTCTTTAAGGGATCGTCCACTAGGACTCCGAGGTCCCTCTCACAGTTACTACTATTGAGCAAGGTACCCCCTATAATATACCTATACATTTGATTTTTCTTGCCTAAATGTAGAACCTTACTTTTTTCACCATTGAATTTCATTTTGTTAGATAGCGCCCAGTATTCCAGTCTGTCCAGGTCCTCCTGTATCTTAAGCCTGTCTTCTGGAGTGTTGGCTATTCCTGCCAGCTTGGTGTCATCCGCAAATTTGATGAGTTCCCCATCTATCCCCTCGTCCAAATCGTTGTGTTCTCAAGAGCTCTTTGGGCTCTTTCAAAAAGCTTTCTGGCCATCTCCAGATGGCACCGCCTGCACCTCCAGCCAGGTCCCTGTCTTTTTCCATTGGGCAGCATCCAGTTTGCCTTCACCCAGCCAGATGGATGCCTTTTTCGTTCTCAAAGAGAAAGGACATTTTCTCTCTGGCAGGGAGGAAGCCTGAAAAGGCTCGTTTCAAAGGCTCAAAATGCACAAGCAGCTTCACGCGGCTGGGCGGCGAGAAATATTCTATTTCAGACTTCGCGGTTCCGTTTGACGGTTTTAAATGATTCCTGCAAGCCACCCCAGAGAACAGTGACTTTTGGAGGGGAAAATGTCGATATTATAAGATATGGGGAGGGAATGGTTTGGCTGGGTCTTAATTAGAAGCACAAGGAAGTTCACCTATAGCCTTACATTAAAAGTATTAAGGCTTTTTTTTAAATCATGAACTTTCTTTATATATGTCGCCCACTTTGCAAGGCTTTCTCAATTGCAAAAGAGAGACAGAGAGAGAGAGAGACAGAGAGGGAGACAGAGAGAGACAGAGAGACACCAAGAGACAGAGAGAGAGAGAGACAGAGACACAGAGAGAGACGCAGAGAGA